CTGTCGTAGAGTGTGCTCTCACTCCGAGGGGGCATGGTAAACGTTGGGCCTGGTATGCCAAGACTATAGCCTCCACTAACCAGTGGGCAAGTCTCTGTTTGGAGAAAGCCTTTCCCTTCTGTTGTCCTCCGAAGCAGACAAAGAGCAGGTCTGAGGTCCTGAAGCTCCGCGTACGGTCCACGTAAATGCGCAAAGCGCGAACGGGACAGAGCAGAGCGATGGCTGGGTCTGCCTCCTCCCGGGGCAGCGCTTGCAAGTTCACCACCTGATCCCTAAAAGGCGTGGTGGGAACTTTGGGCACATATCCAGGCCGGGGTCTCAGGACAACGTGAGAGTTACACGGTCCGAATTCTAGGCACGAATCGTCGACCGAAAATGCCTGCAGGTCCCCTACCCTCTTGACCGAGGCCAATGCGGTGAGGAGCACTGTCTTCAATGACAGAAACTTAAGCTCTACTGACTGCAGAGGCTCGAAGGGCTCCTCCTTCAAGGCCGTCAGGACCGAGGGGAGATCCCAAGAGGGTAACAGGTGAGGGCGGACAATAAAGCTCAACTTGACTTGACTTGACTTGACTAGTGGTAAAATGCTTATAGTGTGTCATTAACCTTGTCTTTTGTTTGTCTTTAGCCAATTCCATACTGGCTGTACAAGCTGCACGGCCTGAACATCAATTACAACTGTGAGATCTGTGGGAATTACATGTCCAGAGGACCCAAAGCCTTCCAGAGACACTTTGCAGTAAGTTTGCAAGAAAAATTATTCTATGTAGCAGATGTAGCAGGATCTCAGTTTACAATTTAGTTCAAGATTTTACTGACTTTTCATGCAGTTTCCAGATGTTTTCTGGCATCTTTACTTGGGTCTAATCATGCACTAATGAGAGATCTACTCTTAACGTGAAATAAAATACCTGCTAGTATGTTACATAGTAAAGTATAGAAACAAATGTAAATGAACAGTCTGGTTTCAGATGTGGACATTCAAATGAGACTGCCTTGCTCTCAGTTGTTGAAGCCCTAAGACTGGCAAGAGCGGATTCCAAATCTTCAATACTTATCT